TGTCTGAGGGATGTTTCTTTTTCTACAAAATGATCAGTAGTTAAGGATTTTGGTTTGGTTTTGCTTAGGGGCTTTGTGGTCCTTCTCAGGTTTTTTTAAAAAGCACCGCCCTCTCCCCAGTATAAATCCAAATGTTTTCGAAGTTTTAATTGAGGTGTGTTTAACCCTTCCCCTGCGCGGCGCCCCCGCCTCGGCCTCGGAGCCCAGCCGAGCGCGAGTTCGCTGCAAGCGGGATCCGTACCGCTTCCCGCCGGCCCGAAGCCTCCGAAGTATCCCGGGCGCCGGCGCCTCCGGAGGCTCCCCGGCAGCTCCCGCGGGACAGGAGGACCCTGTTGTCCTCCAGGAGCGAGGCCCGATGTGGCATCTGATTGTCGAGCGGGAGAGACGGGGGCAAGAGAGAAAGCCCCACTTGCCCCATACCAATTCTCTAGCTTTTCCCGAGGGGAAAGAGAAAACTATGCGAGTCCGGCGTCCCCCACTGCCTCCGCCTGCGGTCGAGAAAGCAGGCATCGGCTCGGGATTGAGAGGTTGGTTCTGAGCCCCCCACCCCCACCCCTTGCCTTAATGCGACTCTGGCAAGAACAGATGTCCCAAGCCGGGCGGACTGCCCAGACCCCGCCCAGCTGTGCCCTTGGTGAAGACTTGGCTGAGGGTAGGAACTGGCACGCGGGTCCCCAAAGGGGCTTGGGGGCTCCTTCGTCCCGGTGGGACCTAACCTGGCAGCCTTGGCCTCCTGGCCAGCGCAGCCTCGGGCGGGAGGCAGAAGCGCCCCGGAAAGACCCGTTCCTAATTCAATTAATTCCAAAAAGAGGAATGAGACGAATACGGAGGTGGAGAGAAGCGGGGAGAAAGGTTTGAATAACCGAACACCAGGCACACACTCCGTGTATGGAACCCTGCAGCCCCAGTCGGCTTGGGGAGTCAGTGCTGCGCTCCTGGCTGGAACAGGCGGCCGAGTTTCCAGTGCCAGAGCCACACCCTGGTGCACATCTGGGCATCTCCACCCAAGGCAGTACCCCAGCTTTCTTGGCACAGCCAGTGTCTAGTGGTTCCCTTGTCCTTTCCTCTGTGAGCACCCCAGGTTCTCCTCACACGGGGTGGGGGGGCTAAGGCCCCCCAGTCCCTGGCATCTCCCCCTGAGAAACTGGTTGCCTTCCTGCCTGTGAGCCCAGCATTCCTCTCAGCCTTCTCCTGCTGGAGCTCCCCGGGCAGGCTTCTCCTATGCCAGCACTTTAAGATGGAAAAAGTTTCAGAGGGCAGATCAGCCCTTCCCAGGTCTGTGCCCTTTCTTCCCACTCCTCACCCAGAATTTTGTCCAGAATTTTTAAAGATGCAGGACAGAGAGGCAAGAGGCCGATTCAGGATTTGGGAGAGGAGTGGGGTTTCCAGGTTTCTCGAAGTCCAGCTCCTCACCTCCTCTCTGGTCTGTGGCCCATGTTTTCATGCCCCAGCCCTAAAGAAAGAAAAGTGACTATGTCTTGGGCTGTGAGCTGGGAAGCCTATCGTGATGCTGAGATCGGTCTGCCCCCTTCCACATCTCACAAAAAGCAACTTTCTCCTTTGAGCCCATAGGAACAGGTCAAGTGTGGAGTCCTGGTTTGACCCCTGCCGTAACATGAGGAGCCTGGGAGTGGAGGAGGAGGCCAAGGTTGGTCAGGCCTGGCCCACAGTGTCCCTTTCTTCCCACATTCCTTAAGAACTAAACTGTGGAATCTAGAATTATCCCTCAGTCTCAAGGTCCCCTCAAATCAACAGATTTCTCCAAGGAGCAAGCAACTTCAAGTTTAAGATTCTCGGGAAGAGGAGAAAGCAAAGGTCATCCAAGAGGAAATGAAATCTCTGACCTCTGTGGGAGATCCTTGCATCCATGGACTTCCCCATAAAGCAGAAAGAGAGAGAAGCAAACACAACCCGATGGAGTCTAGGGAGTGGCAGGGGTTCACTGTTGCTGACTCCCATGGGATTTAGTTTCCCTGGACTGTACTCAGTGGTTTATTGGGCTGTCCCACTAGGTGACGAAATCAGAGCTGGGGGTTCACTGGGCATCGGGGGCTCATGGTCCAGATTATGTCTGGTTAAACAGAGAGGAGAAAAGCAGCAAGGCTTTTCCTCCCTTTCCCCCGATGGAAATATGGTCTGCACTCAGAAACATCTCTGTTTCCCTGTCATTTCCAAGTGCTTGACTTCGGATGGGGGTGGGAAAATCAAGGGGAAGATGCCCTCCTAATTGATCCCGGCTGCAGCCTTCAGGTTCCACAGACCAGGGGTTGAGCTGAGTCTGCTAGTACGTGCTTGGAGATCCCGCCACTCAAGCTAGGGCAAGAAGGGTGTCCTCTCTTCGACTTCTCCCCTTGCCCCCTCCCTCCCACTGCTCTGGCCCCTTTTAGCTTTCTCCCCACCCCCACCCCCACCACACACCTCCGTCTGTTCCTGGAGCTTCTCTGTGTGTGTGCGTGCAAGCGGGAGAGCCAGCGAGAGGAAACGACCTGCGAGGGGGAGTTTGGGGCCGCGTGTCCTCGCGCATCTTCTTCTCCTGCTCATCTCACCATCTCACCAGGGAAGTTGAGTGTTGGGGAGGAGGGTTGATGGGAGGATAGAGCACAGCCAGAGTGCAGGGAGTGTGGGGGAAGGGTCAGGAATTGGGAAAAGGGTAGCTCTTGCTGCCGCTGGAATTCACAGTAAGCAGCATCACTCCAGATCCCCGCCCCAAAAGGGGCCTGGCACCCCCCCACCCCCGCCCGCCCAAGGTGACCGCAGACGCCGTGGCCCGAGAGTCATCAACATCTTTCCCATCTTTCCAAAGGATCTGGAATCCAGCTTCAAAAACTGAATCGTGCCGTGTGGAGTAGCCGGAAGAATGAAGCGTAGGAGTCTGTGGTCTGGCCAGGGAAGCCACGTGGAGGGGTCTTTTGCTTCCGGCCCCAAGCCACCTGGATACTACCCAGCCCGGGACTTCAGAGCGGGTTCTGGGAAACAGGCTGAGTGGGAGAGAAGCCCAATTAACCTTGTTTCCAGGGCAGGATAAGACTCAGGCCTCGGGATGGGTGCCGAGTTCCTTTTCTCTCTAGTTGTCCCTGCCAGGCCTGTCCCATGCCATGAGCAGACCAGACTCCAGATTTGAGTCTGGGATTTGCGCCTAGCTTCATACACCATGCGAGAAGTGGGGGAGAAAGGTGTGTCAAGTCCTTTCTCCCAAGAATAGGGATGATTCAGAGGTTTATTAAATTCCCTTAGACCACTGAGACAGGTGAATCCTAGGTGGAAGGGCCCAGTTCTTAATCTCACTTTAGACATATGATCCTATAAGAATTTTAGAATGAAATTTTGAGAAGATTCCAGTGAAATTCTCTGAAAACTACGGAAGAATTCCACCCAGAATTCTAGCGAGGTGTCGCAAAGGGCCTCTCTCTGTGTGGCACTCCCTAGGGCCGGGCACAAGCAACCTCCCTCTGAGGCTGGTACACAGGAGACTGGACGAGAGTCAGCACCTGGGAGTGGACAGCTCCCAGCCCCCCCCTCCCCCCCTTCGGCCTCATCCACCCAGAACAGTGAGGGCACCGTCTCCGCTGGTAAGACAGAGTGTTTGGAAGTGGTCACTTAAGGGAGACGCCGAGCTGAAGGTCAGACAGTATAATCTGATCTACCTTTTTCACATTTAAGGCTTCCTTCTTCAACTACCTTCTTTGCAGATTTTGTCAGGGTGCTCTGATTTTGGGGCCCTGGATTCAATCTTTAAAAGCCTTAGCATGCCTGACTGCAAGCTCCAGCCCCAACAGTACACCCCCCCCCATTTCAGTCCTAAAACAAGCAACAGTGTTTGTGTGTGTGTTTAAAATAATTTAAGTGGGGCGCCTGGGTGGCTCAGTCGTTAAGCGTCTGCCTTCGGCTCAGGTCATGATCCCAGGGTCCTGGGATCGAGTCCCACATGGGGCTCCCTGTTCAGCGGGAAGCCTGCTTCTCCCTCTCCCACTCCCCCTGCTTGTGTTCCCTCTCTCACTGTCTCTCTCTGTCAAATAAATAAATAAAATCTTTAAAAAAAAATTTTAAGTAAGCAGCTTCAGAAACAGCCCAGTTTCGGTACTCCTAACCATGTTCAGGCTTAGGGATGGTGGTCTTCAGGATTTAGACCCCCCCCTCCAGGTATTCCAGGGGTCCAGTGGGCACTGGTGTCTAAGAGAGGGTCCTTTCAGGGAAGTCAGTTCAGAGATGTCTATGCCCCTGAGGTTCAGAGAAAGAGAATTGTGAGGCTGTCTTGTGAGATGGGGAAACAAGCTTTTCTGCGGTGCCCTTCTTCCACCTCCCTAGACTGAGGGCTTCCCTCTGCCTGGAGCTGCACCAGCCAGGGAGGAGGCTGTCCAGGTGTGGACCAGGGGTTTCCTGCTGTCCTATCAGAGGAAACTCTCGGCATCTTCAAGCTCCATTCTTCCAGGTGGGCACCTAGATCCGGACCCCTCCTATAGCTCTGGGAACACCTGCAACCTCATTAACACTACTACATATTTCAACATTCCTGAGACTAAAAAGGGCTGATTCCCCTGAGTCCACTGAAACACAAATTTAAAACCAAAAAGACTTCCTACATTAGTATTTCATCCTCATAACCTTATGATTTTTTTATTTAAAAATATCCCTGTCTGGCTCAAATGGTTTTGTCTTTATGTCTATGCACTTGTTTTTTGCAACAGTGGGCAGAGGGTTGTAAAATGACCGGCTGCTCCCAACTGGGTCATTTTTTAGTGATGAAAAGATATTTTGTTCTCAAAGGAGGTGCATGTGCATGTTTGGGAACCGAAGGAGTGTAAAGAGATTAGTGCAATGCTTTGTGCTAGGAGCGTGTGTGAGTCTGTGTAAGGTCTGGGAGGGGCAGTGAGTGTAAATGTTTTGGTGCCCGGTGGATGGGTGTGAGCGAGGTTGTAGGGTGGAAATCCCACCCGGAAATCTCCAGGGTCACTGTACCTGGCCTCTGTACAGTAACTCGACTCTGTGTCTCCATCCCCCAGAGCCCCAGCTCAATCCCAAATGAAATGAGGCCACCGTGAGAAACCGGGTCCGGCTTTGCATCTCATTTACATAAATATTTATTAATCGTCGTTAAACTGAACAGAAACACGCAATGCACTTCGGGTGTCCGACGGGAGTTTCATCTTCGCTACAAGAGGAAGGTAAAATTGCGTGTGAGTGTGTGGGTAAGTGTGTGGGTGTGTCGCCTGTGGGTTTGCATTTTTGCATCGTGTGTTTGGATGCCTGATCTCCTGCCTCTGGTGGGGAGAGGTTCTCCTTTTGCTCCTTTCTCTGGGAAACCTCCAGAAGGAGCCCTCAGCCCTCTCCCTGCCCACCTGCTAGCCAGAGCCAAGAGGACTCCTCAGACAAAAAAAAAAAAAAAACCTCTCCGGCTACCGGAAATCGCCGGGCGCCTGGCGCCCTCCGAGGCACATTCGGGCAGGGGCGGGGCTGGCCCTAGGTCTTGGTCTCCACCCTCAACCCGGGATGAGGATTGCCTGCGGGGAGCGAGGGTTCGGCGAGCTCTCCTCCCTCTGTCCCCGGACGCCCGCGCCGGGCCTGCGTGTGCGTGCGGTGTGGTGTGCGTGTGTGTGTCTCTCATGCAAACCCTCCCTCCCCAAACCGACCCCCCCAACAGTTTGCCATTCCATACAAATTTGGAAACAGGTTTTTAAAAAACAGCATGACGCACAATGGGGACGGGGCGGGGGAGGGCAGTGGCACTGGGGCCCCAAATCTCCGAGTCACTGATTGTAAGAACCTGGGGAGGGGAGGGGGCGGCGCCGGCCCCCACTTCACCAAAGTGCACAGATCCGCGCTTGGGCGGCGCGGCCCGCGGGCCGGGAGGGGCATCCCGGGGCCGGGCCGGGCCGCTAGGCTCTGTCAGAACCTCCTTGCATAGATATTTGTGTCTTTTTATTATTGGTAGTAGTATTTTTTGCCTTTTATTGCTTCTAAAAGTTCTTACTGCGTTTTCTCTCCGATCCGGACTCTGCGTTCGGCCTCCGTCGCCTCTTAGCTTTTTTTTTTTTTTTTTTGTATGTTTGTTTGTTTGTTTAAAAAAAGGAAAAGGGAAAAACGGATTCTAGTTACAAATTGTCTTGGCCTCTCTCTTTCCTCTCAATCCACACTTCCTCCCGCCAAAATTAAAATCACAAAACGCTGAGACTAGGGGTTGGGGAGAGGGTTCCAGGTCCAGACTCGGGCGCCCTTTTGCCCTCTTCAAGAAAGAGGGGGCGCCCGGCTCCTTTCTGCCTCGGCAGCTCGGTGTCTGTTATTATAATAATAATAATAATAATAATAATAATAATAATAATAACAACAACAACAACGACAACAATAGAGGGAAAACAGTATCCCACAGCTCAGCTGCCCCCTTGCCAAGGCCTTTGGGCCTGCAGGGGGGAAGGGGAGGAGGAAACCTAAGTGTAGGGATTGGGAAATGGGGGTGGTCTCCAGGGAGTGCCCTAAGAGGGGTCCCTGGAGAACCACCCCTGGGAAAGAGGAGGAAACCCCTTGGGGAGAGAGAAGGCGAGTCCCCTGGGGGAAGCGAGGCCCCTGGGATGGGCCACCCACAGGTAAGAGGACTGCACTGCCCAGGAGAGGGTCAGTACCGGCGGCCAGCTCCCCGTGCCCGGCGCCAGGATAGGTGGGGGTCTCCTTGCGCTCGGGCGGGGGGGGGCCGGAGCAGGGGTGCGGGCAAAGGCAAAAGAAAAAGAAAGGGGCAGGCGCGAGGTCTCAGTTATGGAAAAACGCATTGAGCTCCTCGTACATGGGGCCCCGGTCGTGGTGAAGGTGCATATCGTAAGACAAGAGATTCTCCGAGTGGACGCCCCCGCGCACAGCCGACGAGCCGAAGACCAGCCCGTGGCCGGTGGGCCGCGAGCCGGGCAGCGCCGAGTAGTGCATAGAATAGTGGTAGCTCTTCTCGTGGTCGGGCGACGAGTCCTGCTTGAGCGAGAAGTTGCCATTGAGACAGAGCGGGGGGCTGAGCGGGCCCTCGTACTCGGAGCTGTTGTAGTCCGGGCTCGCGCCGCCGCCGCCCGCCGCCGCATACAGTGTCTCGTAGGCGGCGCAGTAGCCGTGGGTCCGCAGGGCGTGCGCCGCACCGCCCCCCAGGCCGCCCGCCGCCTGGCACTGGGCGCCCGCCAGGCGCGAGCACGGGTACGGGTAGGGGTGCATGGCGAACGGGCCACCCGAGCCGTGGAAGCGGCCCGTGCCGTCGGCGCCCTGCTCCGTGAGGAAGTTGCGCGAGTTGAGCTGCAGGCAGCCGGCCACCAGGTTGGTGGTGGGCTGCGACAGACCCTTGCACAGCGTCTGCACGTAGGACACCAGGTCGGGCCGCTTGCCGGAGCGCAGGATCTCCGAGAGCGCCCAGATGTAGTTCTTGGCTAGGCGCAGCGTCTCGATCTTGGACAGCTTCTGTGTCTTGGAGTAGCAGGGCACCACCTTCCGCAGGTTGTCCAGCGCCGCGTTCAGGTCGTGCATGCGGTTGCGCTCCCGCGCGTTCGCCTTCTGCCGCCGCAGCTTGGAGCGCTCCAGGCGCGCCTTGGTCATCTTGCGCTTCTTGGGCCCGCGCTTCTTGGGCCGCTCGCCCTCTGCCTCGTCCAGCCCTTCCTCCTCCTCCTCTTCCTCCTCCTCCTCGCCCCCCAGCTCGCCTTCCTCCTTGACCTCGGCCAGGGCGGCCTCCGGCACCTCGTCTGCACGGAGAGGGACTGGCTTGGCAGCCCGGGCGGGCCCCGGAGCCCCGGGCCCCGGAGGCGGCGGCGGCGGCGGCGGCGGCGCGTCGCCCTTGTCGCTCCTCGGCTCGTCCTCGTCGCCGTCGCCCCAGCTGGCGAACTTGGGCACGTCCGAGAGGAGACCGGGCTCGCTGAACAGGCGGGTCAGCATGGTGCCTGAGGGCGCCCCGCGGGCGGGAAGGGGAGACAGCACAGAGTGAGGGGCGCGCTGGGGTCACGTCGCCCCCCCCAACCTGCCTCCACCCCCGAGTCCGGTGTGGGTTCCTGCCCAGGGGGCCCTGGCTGCCCACCTCCTCCGCCTGCCCCGCCCAGAGCCGGCCCAGCCCTGCCCCGGCGGCCCGCCCGGGATCTCGGCCCAGGCCCTCTCCGCGGCGCTGGGCCCCGGCTCCGCCCCTTGCCTGAATGAGGGGCCGCCGCCCGCGCTCGGGGCTTCTCGGGGTCAGGGCAGGGACCGCGTCGGGGCTTTAGGAAAGCGACATCTTCGCGAGGGGAGGCGGCGCGCTCGCCCTGAACGCCGGTTCTCTCCTGGCGGTGGAGGAAGGCTGGGCGGCCGCGGGTGGGGACAGCTGCCCAGCTCGGCGGCTCTGGCGGCCCGGGCCCCTCGGCCCCGCTCCCCCACCCTTTCCGCGGCTCTCACCCCCACGCTCCCTAATCCAATTTGCAACTTGGCCTCGCGCCGCCCTCGGCTCGGCCCCCACCCCCGCAGCCCCAATTCCAGAGGCGGGAGGATCGTCTCTTCTAGCCGTGGCGTCCCCAGCTCCCCGAGCCGGCTCCGGGCGGAGAGGACCGAGGAACCCGGGCGTGGGGAGGAGACGGGGAGAAGCGAGCCCCGTCCGTCTCCCCTGCGGTCAGGGACCCCTTTCCCCGCTTCAAACTGCCTCCCTCCCTCACGACTCTTCAGATCTCGTTATATTTCGGGGTTGATGGGTGGGGGAGAAATCAAATTTGTTTGCTTTTCTTTTTTTCCTTTTTTCTTTTCTTTTCCTTCTTTTTTTTTTTTTTGGTGGTGAGGAAAGGTCGCAGGTTCCTCTGGGACAACCATGGGGGGGTCCCCATCTCAGCCTCTTCCCTGCCCCCCCATGATCCTGCTTTTCTCCCCAAACCCATCGCAGGCAAAGACGCCTCCCTCCGCAGCCCCCTGAGCTGCAGCCCCTAGGGGAGAGGTAACCCAGGGCACCTCTGATGCCCACCCTATGAGGGGGCATCGTCCCAGGAAGGGGGTTTGGGGACCCTCTTGTCGGGCCGAAGCAGCCGCCCTCCCCCTCCCCCCCCCCATCCGGCGGGTCAGATCCAGCTCCCTTTCGGACAACTTACCTCGGAGAGGAGTCAAGGGGAGAGGGGAGGGGAGGGGGGGGAGGGGGGCAAGAGAGAGAGGGGGGAGAAGAGGAATCTTCTCGCTTATTTCATTGTTCCCCCATCTTCAGGGAGCGGGGGCAGCGGCTCCTCAAGGCGGCGGGCGCCGGCGTCTTCAGAGCGCCATGCGAACCGCGGAGCGAGTGTGGCATCTCTACCAGGCGGGGTACCAGCCTCTATGCCAGGCCATATGGGCTTGGCACGTCACGGGCAGCAGCTATCACATGAGAGACGGTGATTGGCATGCGTCTGCATTGGGGGAGAGCCGGCTCCCCCGGGACCCGCCGCCATCTGTCACTCTCTACTCCAAAAAAAAAAAAAAAAAATTAAATAAATAAAGGAAATAAATAAATATCTCTGCCGCCCTCCCCTCCCCGCCCAACGCAGGGAAAGCAGGGATTGAGAGGGAGGTGGGAGGAGTTGCCCCCCTCTGATGTAGAGCCCCCCACATGGGAACAATGGGGTGGCAAGCCTGGAAATTGGGGGTGTGTGGTGGCCCCCAATTCTATGCTCCCTCCAGGGTCCTGCTCTGTCCATTTCCTCCCTTGCAGGCCCCCAAAGGTGGGTCAGAGACCAAATCCTCAGGTCTGGAGAAGGGACCTCTGCGCTTGCCCCCACTCCCCAGGAGGATCCCCGCAGCCACAAAGGGACAGCTGAGGCCCCCTCCCAGGGTGGGCGTGGGGGGTGTCCCTGGCCCAACCCCATAGGTAGATGTTGGCACCATGCCATCCCTCATCCCTGTCTGCCCCTCCCCCACCCACCCCCACGCACACACAACATATGTGGCTGAACGAAATTCAAACCAAGGAAAAGACAGAGAAAAGGAAAGACTTGCCTGGATGTCTGTGCCTCTGTATGGGCGTGTGTGTGTCTGTGGGGACATGTGTGTGTATCTGTGGAGTCAGCCTATGGGAGAGATTTCCTTGGGTGTTTGGGGGAATATGCATGTTGAGGTGGGGGTGGAGAAGAGCCTCTGGAACAAGCCTGTGCACCCACCATTGGGAGTGAGGGAGAGGGTCTCAGTCCGGATTCCTAACCCAGAAACCTCTCACTCGTCACCCCCCCCCACCTCCTCCCCTGCTAGACAAGCAACCATCCCACCAGTGGCTTTCTCTCCTGGCTTTCTGACTTATTGAAGGGAGGAGGAGGGGGCTGGGCTGGAAATTGCCTGAAGTTCCTGGAGAAGACTCAGCATTCTCCTCCCCCTACAAAAAATACTGAAAATACTGAAGCCAACTCCAGCAATCTTGAGAGGGACAAAGGGGAGGTGGGTCAGACAGGTGTCTTGATAAAGAAGGTAGGAAATTGCTGTTTTTTTCTTACAGCTCACCTTTCAACTCTCTCACTGGGCCAGACACAGATACAAATGGCACAAATTGAGGGGGTAGCTTTAGACACACATACACACACACACACACACACACACACACACCCCTGTGCCTCACCCTGTGGCGCAGAAAGTGGAAAGACATCCTGACTCAGACATGTGTGTGAGCAGGTAATCACAACCCGGTGAGAAAGACCCTTGCACACACCCTGATTCAGCATTTGTGTGTTTCAGATCCACATTCCCTGTCCCTCCCATCCTCCAGCTTACATAGACAACTTCAGTTCTATCTTCCGCACACACACTTCGATGTCAACCATATGCCAAGCACTGTGGTGGCACAATGATGAGCAAGGCAGGGGCTTTGCTCTCAGTCTGGGCAGGTACCGTTTTCTCCCTCAGGGAGCCTCCAAAGGGAACCTCGGGCTGGTAAGACACTGATTGGATCCTTGGTAGAATGAATTAGGTTTCAGATAGAAGCATATACCATGGCTAAGGAGGCCTTGGAGAAGAGGGGCTGGTGCTGTCTGAAGCTCTCAGGGATAGCTGACCGGGAACTAAAAGGAGCCTCAGAATGAATAGCCCCAATGCGTTTTTTCCCCCCTGAGACCCACAGAGGGGGACTGTCTTGCCCAGGAACACACCATTGGAGAGCAGAACCAGACCTAAAACCTAGGGGCTTGACTCCCAGCCAAGTGCTCCTTCCACAAACCCATAATCTGCCTCAGTGGTCTCCAAGGATGAGAAGCCAATGCTAAGTTCTCCACCATTCATGCGTGGATCTTAGGTCTGGGAAGGTAGAATCCTACCTATGGCAGATGGTCTAGGGCGCTCTGGGCATGGCCAGAGGGAGAGGCGAAGGGATAGGCCTCAGGTGGGCCGAGACTCAGGAATGCCATCCAGCCCCTCTCCAAATTTGAGCACAGCCTCAAAAGCTTTACTGTCCCTTTACTGAGGGTGGGGTCTTCAATCCTGACATGGGGTCCTTCCCCTCAAGGCTCCCAGCCATATGATATTTTGGTTACATTCACATGCTTTGGGCTCTGATTTCTCCCCAACCCCACTTACTAGCGTCAAAGAATGCTAACTACCTTGAGCAGGTTGCATACTGTCTCTCAGTCTTGATTTCCCCATCTGTAAAATGGGGATAATTATACTACACCTCATAGAGCTGCTGTTGGTACTAAATGGGATAATACCCATAATGAGGTAGCACAGGGCCAGTGATATAGTGAGTATTCAATAAGTGCCATCTCTGATTTTTATTAAAGCCTCTTATAAACTGTAACATGCTCTACCATATTAATTTCTTGCACATACCCACACACACATGCAGAATGCTTTGTCTATATAGGAATTGAGTTTTTGTTGAATTAGTGGGTGAATGAATGGATGCGTAAGAGAATGAATACTTCTTTGGGGGAGAGAGACACACCCTGCCTTCTCCTCTGAGGGATGGGTTAAGCTACCAGGGGTCTCATAGACCCCTACCAGCTTTGCTTTCTGCTCAGAGCAGGAAGAAATACCTTGTTCGGGATAAGGGGGCCCTTGGGAAGTCTCTCCATCTCTCCCGGTCTCCTGTTAAGAATGACCTCAGCTCGGGCGCCTGGGTGGCTCAGTTGGTTAAGCGACTGCCTTCGGCTTAGGTCATGATCCTGGAGTCCCGGGATCCAGTCCCGCATCGGGCTCCCTGCTTGGCGGGGAGGCTGCTTCTCCCTCTGACCCTCCTCTCTCTCATGCTCTCTGTCTCTCATTCTCTCTCTCTCTCTCAAATAAATAAATAAAATCTTAAAAAAAAAAAAAAAAAGAATGACCTCAGCTCTCTGGGTCTGAGAAGGTCCTCTCAACCCCCCACAAGAGGAGGCCTGGGGGTGGGGGTGGGCATGCTGGAGGGTATGGGCAGCTTCATCCCTCTAGGTCTGTTTCCTGCCCCTGTCTTTTCTTCCTTCAGAAAAATGGAACAAGTTTTTCTCACTCGACACGTTTCAACTTTTTTTTTAGAAGATACAATAAAAAACAGGGGAAAATTGGAACAGAGGGAGGTGTGGGATGGGCCAGCCTCAGACACAGGCTTGGAAGAGGTACCACACACACGTGTCCACATCCACACGAACAAGCATGAACATACAGGGACACGCGTGCTCCTCTCTGTTCACCCAGAGATGCGGAGATGCAGTGACGGAGAGACAGAAAGAGCCAGAAATGGAAGGAAGGAGACGGAAGGAGAAGGACACCCAGAGATGCCATCTGTTCCTCCCCCTGGCATTGGGGGAAGGGAGTTGGTGAGGGGCCTAGTCCCCTCTGGGTCTCTGAGAGGGAAAGGGGAGTGAAGGGTACCTCAGCCAGGCCTGCAAGACTCCCTTTCTACTGCCCACCCCCATGGAGGGAGCTGGGAGCGGGGGTCTGAGGTTCCCATGGAGACATAGCCCCATCCCAAGGGAGGCCACAGTCTGGGCACCTAAAATGGCTGC